GACGTTAAGAGAGAGAGTGTGTGTATGTGTGTTTTGAGGAGCCCTACAGACCCCCAGTAGCTATATTGGTGATGATAGATCCCAATTACTAATTTTGACTCTAAAAGAGACGAAAAAATTCACCAAAAGGGTCCATCACATTTGAGCAAATGCTACAGGAGGTCCATCAAAGTATCTATTCGCAAATGGCCGATAGTACAGGGTCTATTTATTTATTCCATTAGCCCTTGATTATAAATTGCAGCATCGTGAAACTTTACCTTGGAACTAGCAACCTCCTCATTGGATACCGGCAGGTTTCTAATCGCTATAGAATAGTTCACCAGCGAGAAAATTTTATTGCAGTTCTAATTAAATAAACCAATGTTCACCATGAGCCCCTGAGAAAGCAAATAGCTAAATTTGATTTAAAGAAAGATCAAGTTGTCGCTTTGTCTTAGGCCAAAATCAAGAGGCAGGCAGGCTGCTGCTTCCTCAGCTTCCTTGTTTGCTTGTTAGAAAGGGTCTACATTCAATTTTCCCAAAAACTCTCTTGTTTGATTAAGATCAAAGTTTATAAAAAGGACAGAAAGAAGGAACAAAGATAAGTTGCACCATATTGCGACATAGAAGCAGATGAGGGAGAGCCAAACTCCAAAAGGAAATCCCACCAAGACATATCACCACAATCCTCTTTCCAGTTGCTTCCCTATTTGTTCATAGTTTCTTTTCAGAGCAACTGCAACTTCATCACAAGTTCAAATTTCATCACGAAAATCTCCACAACTTTAAAAAGCAAATGATAGACAAGCAATTTAAATTCTTATTTGAGCTTCCCTATTTGTATACATAAAGAAAAGCAGCCCTGTCATTCTCAGCAGACCACCAGAGAAAATCTTTCCCATTGAAAAAAAAAAAAAAAAACATGTTTAATGCCCATATGTGGTGGGCTATTTGCTATATGTGATAACTCTTTGTCAACTATGTGAAAAGAGAGAAATAAATAAATTGACACCATCAGCTATTAATATATTTCGGATACCATACAAACGATCGAGCTAACTATAATATCTCTAGTATTGAAGCCCAATACCCTTCGATAAGCAAGCTCGCCAAGAAAAATCTTTCCCATTGAAAAAAAAAAAAAAAAAACTGTTTAATGCCCATATGTGGTGGGCTATTTGCTATATGTGATAACTCTTTGTCAACTATGTGAAAAGAGAGAAATAAATAAATTGACACCATCAGCTATTAATATATTTCGGATACCATACAAACGATCGAGCTAACTATAATATCTCTAGTATTGAAGCCCAATACCCTTCGATAAGCAAGCTCGCCAAGAAAAAAAAATGCCAACCATAGACTCTTTTGCCAGAAAAAAAATAATGAAAGTAAATAAGGACCAAGACATTTCATTATCAAAGAAATTCACAAAACATTAGACTCCCATCTTATAAACAAGTGTTTGTTAACCAGGAAGCCAGTTTTTGATTGAACAGTTGCAACGATGTTTCTGTCATGTATCAGATGTATTGCACTCACAATTGAGAAGAGACACATGCACACGCAAACGAGATGTTTTTAGTGTTTGAAGAAAGTTGCAGCTTAGTCAGATAAAGACATGCAATAAACAATTAAATAAGAGGTGGGTACTGCTTGGACTGTTGCCTGACTCTTCTCTTGTATTCTGTTGGTTCCTGGAAATAGCTCAGAACAAAGAAACTGATCAGTAACAACAATTAAAAGAGTTAATTACAGTCTGCAATTTACAGATAGATCACCTCTACTGTCGTTATTTTGAACCTACAACCCCTGTAGTCCCATTGTTGCAGACAGACCCTCTGGGTTAAATTATTTTTGACTCTTTTACCATTGGTGAGATTTTGACAGTGGCCTGTAAGTGAAATTAGTGAATCTTAAGGGTAGGAGGCTCGATTTTTTTTTTCTAACCCAGGGGTCTATCTGCACCAAAAATGAGACTACATGGGATGTAAGTTCAAAGCAGCAATACTTCCAGGTTCAATTAACCTCTAAAACACGAGTGATAGGGAGAAAAAAAACCTAGGTGTCTAAGAGCTTTCACAAGGTCTTTGAAAAAGAAAATTACAAAAACAGTGGAGTCCAAGGAAGTGAGAGGGCAGATTTAAACGTCCACACCTGTATAAAGAGGTGGTAACCATCAGTCTGGGCAGGATCAGCAGGATTTGGCTGATCCAGCAAATCTTGTATCCCGACAAGAATCTGCTTGACAGTGATGGCCGGCCTCCATCCCTGTGAATAGTAGAATTAAATAATAGAATTCTGATTGTAGTAATGACTGTGTATAAATAGTAAGTAACAGCTAAACAATATCATTCCTTCTTACACTGTCCTCGTTCAGAATCGACAAGCATACAGTTCCAGAAGGGTAGACGTTTGGGTGGAAGAAACCTTGGGGGAACTTGCACTTTGGTGGTTTGCTGGGGTAGTCCTCACTGAAGTGAAGTGTAAGTGGGAAGTAACCACCTTCCCAGTCGGTCTGTATCATGAAATATAAGACATCCATTTCATATTATTATATTAGCGTCAACTGGAATAAACTTATAATTTGCAAAGACATGATAGAAGTGAACAAGAAATGCAAGTTTCTTGTATTTTGAAGCGAGTATTTACAGCTAAAGAGTTCATTGATAGGAAAACGAAAAACATTAATTCTGAAGGCATAACTATAATAATAACTGCTTAAGAGGACAAAGATGAGTCCCCAGCATATACTTGTATTGAGGCTTTAAATAAATTAGTGGACGTTTCTAGTTTCTGAGGATATGACATTCATTGAGCTGAATAAGAAAAAGAAATGTGTTAAAAGGCTTGAGACTATTTGCAGCCACTGCAAGGAAAATTCTACATCACATGCCCTGACAAATGAAATTTTGTTAACCAACATTGAGAGCAACATCTGGATTTTGGTATAGAAATCTCTGGTTATCAAGTTTTCAATTAAGCTCCAACTTCCACGAATAAATCCCAAGTTTAACGAATCCCTGAATAAGTTCTCATCTGTAAAGCATTTAAGAGAAAACTCTAATAAATAAAAGTTTAACATATAAGAGCTATCCAAATTTGAAATATCCAGACCAGTGTAGTAATTTGCGCATGTAACATAATAGCATGTCAGAAGCTACATCCATATCTCTCCCCAATTCACTTCCTAAAAGCTCTTAATAGTTATCATTTCAACCACTCATGTTAACTAAATACAAATCTAGTTGAGTTACGTTTCGGACAGGCGCTTGTATTTCACAAAGGTTTGATTGAGAAAAACACTCATAGAGGTATGAATTGAGGTTCGTAGGATAGGACAATGATATCTAATTGTTACCCTCTAACAAATATACAAGAATGGTTCAATCACCACACAGGCCATCATTGTGAACTTTCAGAAGACCCAACAAATGCCAGTGAATGCACCAATCATTGGCCTAACAAAGTTCAGAACAACAGCAAACAAGTAAGCAGCATTGAACCAATGAGCTGTCCGGCTGTCTGCCTAATAAATTAGACAGAGATGAAGAGAGCAGCTAAATTCCACAGATCATATTTTCTCCCATTAGAAATAATTTGCATAAACAGATTCCAATGTTACCAGGAACAGAGAAGCAGTTATTACAGTCATATATACAAACTAAGGGTTCACAGTAAACTCTTTCTACTATTTTTCTTCGCATTCCCCAACCTACACAATCTTCTCCTGCTGAGGGTTCACAGTAAATTCTTTCTACTAATTTTCTGCGCATCATAAATAGGAGTTTGACTCAGTATTCTATAGTATTATATGCTCAATATCTCTTTTCAATTATGCTCCTCTATAATAAGTAAGAGTTTTACCAGCTCTAGCCTTATAATTCAACTAGTTCGTAAGAGTTTTACCAGCTCTAGCCTTATAATTCAACTAGTTCGTCATATGATCTGAAAGAGCAACAGGTCATTGCCAAAAAAATACGCCTTTTTAAGGATTGTGTCATGATTCATAATGTTATATGTTCAAAAAAGTTCTGGCAATATGGAATTGACATGACGAGGTGAACTTATGTCAACTTAAGTGGACAAGAGGCCTTTGTCTACCAAACTTTCTATGGGTAATCTAGTGCTAGCTATATAGATAATTATACGTATATATATATAGTATATATATATAGTATATATATTATATATATAGTATATATATATATATTATAGTATATATATTATATATATATAATATTATATTCCCTCTAATATATATATATATATATTACTATATAGTAATATGTTCTTCATATCTTGCATGGACCCCTAGGTATGCTTTTTTTTTTGTTTGGTGGATGGTCCACTTAAATTGACATAAGAATTTCTCTTGACATGACATATATAACAGAAACTGTAGAATGGAGTCGATGTGGTTTAACAAAAAATAGCTACTCTTTTTCAAAATTCTTCTCCACTTCTTCATGACAGCTCTTTCTGCCTCTCGGACACAAATTCGCAAATGCATTGAAAGTAATAACATTATGCCTATTGTGAAGATAACAGAGTAAATCCCTGTGGAGAGCTTTCTCCCTTGGAGCTGTACTCCATAGATAAATTTATCATGAATGGATAAGCTTTTTTCTGTGTTGGCTTTATAATAATGGTCTTAAAAAACACTGAGCTTTCTCGAGCAGACGAACTGTCTAATTAGAATATTGTTGTTATCCTCATATTCTAATAAGTATCACAATTTATAACTGCTTAAACATCAGTCAATCTGGGTGAAAAAGCAACAATCAAAATCACATAATAGATGTATTAGTTGATACTTGATACCTATGTTTCCCGGGTACTTCCATTCACAACCTGTACCCATACCCAACATGTACCCGTACTCATACCCAAATTCTTGGACACTTCTTGAGTATATGCATATGTTTATTCAGATGTATACTCAATTACATAATACATGTTTTAATTTAAAACACTCCTCGTGTGCTTCCTGGACGTATATTCTAAACTTCATATCTACTTCTTACATATTGATCTCATGTAATTTGACCTTACGTAAATTATCAATTTTAATACATATAAAATAAGCATAACGTACATGTGTATTGCGGTGTCCCCGTACCCCGTCTTTTACAAATTTGCCGTGTCCCATACCCCTACCCATGTAACTTAGCTTGATATTGATAGTCTGATACAAAGGAAATCACACACTCCTACAACTCTACAAATTCACATATTCAAAACTTATACATCGTTATGAACAATTGTTTTGTTTATTAACAAGCTAATTTGATGCAACCAAGGTTCTTATGAGAGTAAGGTTATTAAGTGAAAGAAAATTCACCCGGGCTAACAGAGCCAAAAAGTTTAACCTATCTACAGCGATGAAACTATACTAGTAGACTAGTAAGTTCAAAACAATGATACTATAGTTGTTTATGTGAAATTAATCCTTTAAATTAAAATATGTAATATATAACTGAGTGCACATCCAAGTAAATGTATGCATATATTCAAGGAGTATCCAAGGAGTATCGGTGTATGGTACGCATAGGGGTAAGGTTTCATGATAGAGGAGCAAGCAACATAGCTCCTAATAACTTCCTCGAAGTCATAGCAAGTCATACTTCCACTACCATGTATCATGTAGTCATCAAAGTCAAATTTTAAGGTAGTTCCAAATGGCATGAATCCCAAATTTATTTAGGGAATACAACCTTTCATACTATCTGGTCCTTTATTTTTCTATCTTGGGTACTCTATTTTTCTATCTTGCTTGCACCTTCCCAGTGACAGACCTGCAAATCTCTCTCATCAAAGAATATTGGACCTCATCATTGTCCCAATTATATTCTAGGTTTTTTTAAGATAGTAGTCCCTTAAATCCTCAATAATTGCATATTAGTCTCTCAAATCTTAAAATTTACCTTTTAGCCCCTCAAATCTTCAATAATTGCATATTAGTCCCTCAAATCTTGGAATTGAATATTAGTCAGTCAAATCCTAGTCTTGCAAAATGGTCACTCTATTAATATTTCAGTTAAAAAAACTTCATCATGATTGGGTTAACTCTAAAACTCAAAATTTGCAATCACCAAACTACCCCTCTCCTATGTTTCAACCTTTGCAATGCTCAATTTTGGGTTAGGTTTTTTTGCTGACCAATAGAGAAGAAGAACTCAGATGAGTTGGATTTATTTTAAGCGGGTATTGGGTTTAAACTATCAAGAAATGGGTAGGGAACATTATAGAATGGGTAGGGAACATTATAGAGGGGTAAAATGGGCATTTTGCCTCCGACTGTTAGATTTGACGGAATAATCCCCCAAATCTAACGTGACTTAACTTGAAGGACCATTTTGCAAGACCCTATAAGATTTGAGAGACTAATATGCGATTTTAAAGATTTGAGGGATGCAATTATTGAAGATTTAAGGGATTAATATGCAATTTTCAAAATTTAAGGGACTAATAAATGTGTATTTAACCAGTTCATTTAATTTAAAAGCATTTGAAGAACTATTCAGAGCTACAGCCATTTGGAGAAATATGCAATTTTCAGTGATCAGAGTTTACAGTATTTTAATAATATTTAGTTTGCAGTTGGCAATTTTTAGAGCTATCGGCTTCCAAATGCTATAAATGGATTGGGATTAAAAGTAAAAAATTAGAAGAAGAAAATCAAATATTAAAATTAAAAGAAATAATAGAAAGAGAAAAAAATGGAAGAGTTTAAAAGAAAAATTCAGGAATATGTAAAAGAAAAGAGTGAGTTAGTAAAAGATAGAGAAATTTGGGATTTCATTAAAAGTTTGAATTATGAGCCCTAAAAAGAATGTTAGAATATAGAAAATAGTTAATGAAAAAAGTTAATCAACTGCCAGCAGAAATAATTAGTATCATTGAAGAAAAGAGTGACAAACTAACTTTATCCTCTTTTAGAAGGGCATAACAATATTGTTATGATGCAAGTTCGATAACTAATTTAACATTTAATTATAGAGAATGTGAACATCAGGAAAATCCTATAAAAGAAGAATTATCTAATAGAGGGGTTGCATATCATATAGAAAGAGAAACAATTTAAAACATCACAATTGATAGATTATTTTCTCATGATATGTATTTTCTAAGAGTAATAAGAGATGTAATTCAGAGAATGAATCTACTAGTCAAAGGCGTTGAAATAGAAATCGCTTCACTTTATCCAGTTGTAATGGAAGGTGAAATTTGCCCTTCATTTCAAGTATGGTTTTCATAGAAACCAACAACCAAAGAACCTAAAGAGCTCTCACTTTTCAAGAAGAAAATTTTGATTGTAAAGAGTCAATTTTCCAATTTGATTGGATATTTAGTATTAAAAAAGAAAGCTATAAGAAAAGGAAAATATTGGACCGATGGACTAAGAATTGTATTCTTAAATGATTTAAAAACAAAATTTGAACATAATGATGACACGCCTTTAAAAGAAGACTTATTTTTAAAAGTCCAACACAAAGTCTTAAAAGAAGCTTCGAA